TTCTTTTTATTTAGTAATCATCCAGTCAATTTTTACACCGACAATGCAATCATTAAATAAGTTTCGCGGCGTGGGAGAACATTCATCGTTTTGACATTACTATGTAGAAAAACACCAGTAGATACTTAATATATTACGTACGGCCACAGCCCGGAGCAGAAGAAGGAACGGGGTGGCTTTTAGTCAGCAAGAGTCTGACACTCTCTCTGACCCCATCCAGGACGGGAGAAGACATTGGATAATTTTAGCCGTTCGAAACTTCTCATATCCAGATTTATTTCTAGCGAGAATCGAAACGGTATAACTGGAAACATGGGCAATCAATCTTCTAGCCACGAGACTGGCCTGCGTCACCATTAACAATGGTATTTTAATGACATAGCCAGTCCAAGCCAGTTTAAGATCGTTTAGACATCTCTCAAATTTAACTTAACACTTTTATTACTTAGAAGGTAAGCTGAAACCTGCAGAGCCTACAGCCTAAAGCAACGTTTTAAATAAACCTTATTGTAGTAACTGCTTCTCAAGTTCCTCTTAAGTTCTTTGATTATAAAATCGCTTTTAGGAAAAGACATATCTTGTGTTAGGTTGAAAAATTAGATTCCTTAATTGTCATTAGTAGTAGATATAAGTACGCAGTAATTATTAATATGTTTGTGTACCTACCTACAAAGTATACTTAACATTCAGAGTCTGGTTGTAAAGTCAGAAAATACATAGATTGCATGTATTTCTAAGCAACTCGAGGTAAAAATAATATGCAGAATTTAATGTACTTACGAAGTTACTCTTATCTTTGTGTGCGGATTGCGCATATACCTACCCGCTGTAAGGACTTCTCGCGTAAATCTTTTACCAAACATTGTGTCATCACATTTTATTAGGATGTTCATACTCTACACAACTCTAATGACGTAATTTTTTACTTCAACAAACATTTTTCAATGGTTAGATAAAAGTTACCTGGGAAATAATTATGATGCTGTCGCGTCAGGGTGTTTGGATAAGACAGTGACAACAACAATTTTATTTTTCAGATAACATTTATCTGACTATTGAAAAATCAGCCCTTAATCGTTTGTTTTGCTGAAATGCAGACCTTTTTATCGTGTCTCACATATTATACCGATATCCAACGTTATTAATAAAGAATAACAGCTTATTAATCACGATGACAGGATCAATTACCTTTCGTTTACTCGCCATCTCGCCATAAAGCAAGACCTTATTCAAAAAGGCCTAAAGGTAGAATGTCTTCAATCTGAAGAACAATCAAATCTCACGAAATCAATTTGTCTCAATTTTCTATCCTTTGTTTGTGCAATTTCTGCGACCAAGAGTGGCTACGTGCAATAGACTATGGCGCGCGACGGGTCAGCGACCCCATGCGCCCAGCTCGCATGCCATCCCGGGTAAAAATAGCCCCTGTTCCAAGTCTCTATAGCCTTCATACACGCATTGCCCATTTACTGGAGAACAGAGAAATTTGCGTACAACATTGAAGGCGTAATAGAGAATGCGTGCGCAAGAGTCACGCACTCACGTTTTGTGCGCACCGGATTATTTGCCTGACAATGTATGTCAGATGTAGATTATCATGGCGTCACTCAACTATTTCTCAATGTCTGTAGTGCACAATTATCGCACAGACAATACAAACAACAAGAAATATGCGTACAATATGGAATTTAGCGATTTCCATAATGTCGATCTTATTATGTTAATTCTCTTCATCTTGTTTATAAGGCGAATGGAATCTGCGTTGTAATGCTATTGAGGTGATTTGACGAAGAAATAACTTGAACTTGAATGCTGGCGTCTGCCTACGCTTTGAATTCTGGCCATATTTCAAAGTACCCGAGTCGGAGGCGCCGCTCTTTATACAATCAAGTCCTAACAATGCAAAAGTCTAATGCGATTTATTACTATGCAGTTATAACGCTGACTCGGGAAACTTTAATAATATTTCAAAGTCCTGTACCTATTTTTGCAGTCTATTCAATTTGTTACATGTCGCAATAAAACGACAAGCCAAGCAATAATTGGTCACGCAAATGTTGTAAGTGTTAACTAAAATCTTTAGGAATTTGGAGGACGTAAGTTATGTAATGTGGGTGGCGTCTGCGCATATTGATACGGCTAGGTACTTATGAAGTTAACGACTTCTTCGCACAGAATTTAAATTTCACACGACCTTGACTTATTTAATTTGAAAACAATGCATTATTATTATTTCTAGTTTACAAATAATAGATACGACAAATACAAAATGTATGTCAAAAGTTGATAGAAGATTTAGGTGAAAGCGTACGTATTTTTAGATTTTCGTCTCTTATGGCGAATTTGCATAAGCTTACCTATTTACTTATAGTAGTATTGAGTCAATGGGAAACGGGATGAGCGTTACAATAAGTATTGCTTTTAAGTAAAGTTTTTTTAAATTTTTTCAACGCATTTCCATCGTTCTGCCAACCGGCGGTAGTTGTAAAAAATAATCGAATGAACGCATACCTACTCCATGAGTTATCGCGTGACATTTCCAAGGTACCATCGGTAGAACAGAGGATGGAAGGTCGTGTATGTAATATAAAATTACTTGTAATTAACATACAAAGAGATATCTTGATACGCGCCCACAACCACCAACCTTCAGGTCCAATCATCCGTTGAATACCACCTACCACTAACCACGATAGGTACAAATTGGGCAGATATTCATATCTCCTACAATTAACCATCATAATACTTATTTCGAAATGCAAAAACGTCTACATTTAAATATAAAAGCTTGCAAGAATCAAGGACTATAAAAGTCCTAAATATGGTCTTAATAAACTTGTATTAAGTAGGCTAGTTTAACATTTTACTTGGTCAGATCACCTTCATTACGCATGCGTCAGTAGCATACACCACAGATAAGATCATGCTACATAATAACTACAAAAAGGATATGTGCAGGAAGGCTTTAATCTCGGAATTACTCAAATGGAAGCTACCTATGCAGATTGCTTAAGGAAGATAACAATCAATTAAAATATTAGATGAGTAAATCTGAATGTATGATGAAGTTAGCTCGGCTTTTTTATTGCATTCGTTAGGCAGTCACTGACACGAAGTTTTAATCTTATGTACCTACTTACCTACATGAGATCACGCAATTGGGTAGTTTCCTAGGTCAAAAATAAATTATTTTGACGTTTCAATGCAATAAAATATTGAAAAATAACTATACTTTTATTCATCGATCGATCGATATACAAATTTTTAGATTTTTTTAGCAAATTATTAAGAAATAAGTAAGCTATTTGACGCAAAAAAGTTATGACGTCATAGCTCGGTTTTTCATACAAATTTCATAGAAAATTATCGTTTTTGACGTTTGGATAAAAGTATTTAATTTGACTAGTTGGAAACTACCGTAATAGCCCAGTAGATAAAGATAGAATTTAGCCGGAGTAGATTTGTATTTTTGCCACATATTTTGTTGGACTTTCTCAGAAAAAACATTACAAAAGACGATTTTTCGTCGTTAATCATCATCACTTAATTTTGAAGAACTTAAAGAAAAGTAGCGAATCTTTTATATTCTGTCAAACCTTAAACAAAACCACACCCGGAATCTTCACAAAATAAATGAAGACGAATCGCTGCACTGATGTAAAATACCTCGAACAGCTATTAATAAAATGTATGGCGTTTGTTCCCCTTCGTTATCTCCGCCATTATTTATCCCATACAGCATGTGAGAGGCGGCATTACTCAATGCAATGTTCATCAATAAAACTGGCTGTAATTATCATAAAGACACGCAAGTTCTTGTAGGTAAAGCGTCAAGTATCACGCCATACAACTAGGTGAGGGTCTATCCAGTTACTTCCGAAATGACACTTGAAAGACAATGAATTATGATAATGCTGGTTGTGGTACCGGTTCTATCGATAGGTACCTGTATTACAAGAGTAATAAACCTGATGATGATTGAAGCCATTGGGCCGGATCAGGCGTAATTAAATTGCAAATATGACGCAAATCTTTATATCTGGCTTGAAGGTAATAGCAATATCGCGTTGGATGCTTTCACGCTCGACAAGATGATAAAAAACGAAAACGAAGCACATCTAATGTTTTGATTCGAACACTAAGCTCCAACTAGTTTTTCGATTGTACCAAGTTTTTGCGCGTCTATAAAGTTGTCATTCCAATTAAAGCTGGAGTAGACGAGAGTAATAAATCATGTTAGTTAACACTGTTCAATTAACAGAATCTTCGTAATTATGGAACAATGCGCCGTGCTTGAGGTCCCACGGTTTGTTAATGGTTCTATTTACTGCCACATAATCGATGTCTAGTTCAAGGCATGGGACTGTTTATGTGATATATGTATGTCTGGCTTTCGTTCCCGTGAGATGCACTTCCTATGTCCTTTATAGAAATGTTTGGCCTTATGTACTTTTACGTTAGTAAACAATGTTGCTGACGGTATCGCCCCATGATTATGCGCGAACGCGGAACTGCAAAACTATGCACGATGATTTACCAATGACCTTCTATCCACGTACAAATTACATCACATCACAGTATCACAGTATTAACAAAATTGAATTAAAAAACAAATGCTCGTTGACATGTCCATTCATTTCGCAACTTTCGACAATGAGATGGTTAGATTGGTTGTCGCGCGTGCGTCCGGTCGACTAGTCAACTGGTTGGGTGATGCAACGCAGTGCGGCCTTTGATTCGCCATGCCAGCAGCCAGACAGTTTTGTACGGGATATGGCCAATGTCGATCACTGTTGGGAAATGTCATGTGAACTAAACATGCCAATACTGTTGTAATATTCTAGAAAGGGTCTATAGAGGTCATTTTCAAAAGTAGGATACAAAATCAGTTAGAAAGAAACATTTTGATCAAATATGTTCAGAAGAAATGGAATCTAATCCTGAAAAATAAGTTTTTTTCATGACTATAAACTTTAATAGAGTCATATATTTTGTTTCAGATGCATAAACGTTGAATGATCATGTGTAAGCTGGAGATCGAATACGAAAACACATTGGAATGACACACGTAAGTAAATCATATTTAGTACGAACAAAAATAAAAAAACATCAGATTAGTTTGTCAGACTCTTTCTGACTACAAACCCCGTTCCAATTCCTACTGTTCACCAGGACTGCGATTAATGACTAGCCCCATCTGTAAAGTCAAATAATTTATTTCAATTAGACCATTACTGGCACTTCTGAATTTCAAACAATAATTAAAGATAAAAAATGCCAGTCCGTCGGTCAATCCTCTTTGTGAAGCTATTTGCTCGTTCCAAAGTGTAGATTCCGATGGAGAAGAACCAACCAGAAACTCCATGCAAAAACTAATTGTAAAAGTAGCAGAAAAAATTAACTGTATAAATACCCTGATGAAGCCAAAACATTTAAACACATATTTATTTAAATCCAGGTTCAATAGAGGCTTAAAATGTCACAGTCGGCGCTGGGCCTCGGTGGGGAGCGCCGGTACTCGGTGCCATCCAACCCGCTGATGCACGACCATCGAGGGATGCACTCAGAGGATCTGCACGCGTGGTCGATATACAGGTAAATATGATATAATACTTGACATAACTTGAAACAGTTCAAGTTCAAGCGGTTCTTATCTACTTTTTTGGTATCTTCTCTAAACCTGTTTTCAGCTAAAATTCAAATTCAAATTCAAATTCAAATTCAAATGTTTATTGCATTCCATAATGTTACATTAGGTGTTATTATATGTGTATCAGTATTAAGATCATTATGGACCCTGTCGGGCACAGCAAATTACGAAATAATAAAATTAACTTACATTACAAAATAATAAAATCAACTTATATGACAAAATAACAAAATTTAACTTATACTATGAAATTATAAAGTTTAAATATATTTTGAAATTAAATTAAATTCTAAAAGATTCTACAATGGAGAAAAGTATCTACAAAGCCCTTAAAATTAACGTTAGGCAAGGATTTTTTGGTTGTCTTATTAGCTATGTACCAATTTTTGAAGATATAGTAGGTATAACTGGTAGTAAGCAGGTTTATTGTAGCAACATTAAAGTGATAAACCTAATCTTACCTAAAAAGGAAAATATATACTTAGTTCTTATTAGACATGCGAGCTCCCTGATCGTGCGTATGTTACCACCCACGAAGACGTTTTTCGCTATAACGTTAAGCTGTAGGCGGCGATTATAGTATTTATGGTGCGGCTTTGAATCACGGAAATAGTATTTTTATTGCATCCTATGAATATTGCAAACATTGTTTTTAATGAAACACTTGTCTATGGAGAAGATTGTGAATAGAGAAGGTTGAGGTCGTTAGGCTAGTAAGAAAATTTAAGAAATAAATACGACAGACATGCTAACCAATGTTCGATTTCTTAAACGGCTACCTACATTAATGTAAAGAGGAAGTTCAGGGTCGATACAGTTGAAAATCTCACTTCAATTCGTACTACGCATAAAATTTCGACCGCGTAATCCACTAACAAATGTAGTATGGCCGTCTGGCGTGAGAACTATGGCACCAGCATAGATACTGAGCTCGATAAACCATTTTTTATAATAAAATAGCGTAAAATAAAAACATTGTTACGTTTTAGGCAAAACCTGAATTCGGACTTCACTGACAGTGCGTTGGGCAGCACAGACAAGAGCCCTCTGCCATATGGGAACTTCCAGCTTAGGGATACCACCGTGCAGTCCATCCTGTCACACCCTCGATATGGACCCAAGTAAGTTTATTTTGTGAATATTTTTGGCAACAATAATTCTTGTGGTGTTTTTTTATTAAAGAGAATCTCTACACCATCACCTATACGTTTATTGGAATACTTGGATAACTTTGACGGATAATTTTGGATAACACTGAACGGTTTGCGCGGTGGCTGGGCAACTGGCTGCCACGCAACGTGTCGCGGGTTCGATTCCCGCACTGAACAACTCTTTGTGTGATCCACGAATTGTTTTTCCGGGTCTGAGTTTGCTGTGTGTGTGAAACTGTATGTTTGTAAATGCACTTACGACACAGGGGAAAATCATAGTGGGGCAACGTTTTTTAAAAAGAAAACTTGGAACAGATCTTCATGTCGTTATTGCATAATTTATTACGCATTACTCGATTTGTGATTTTTTTTATAACGCTAACAACTACATATTTTCGGTTTATTAGTCTTACTAATTACTATCAAGATGCTATAAACGTCAAATGGTCTCGAAGTATAACATAAATTACACGGCAAATATTATTAGAGCATTTCGGCTTGCTTTTAGCTATTCTAGAACAAACAACCAGTATTGTTTTGCTATTAAAATTTCCATTAAAATCTACGGGTCGTAAAAAATATTGTAACACACAATATAGTTGGTTATTGCGGTATCGGCCTCGCTGTTAATGAAATTTATGTCACGGTGTTTGCCTTACCTTGTCCTACAGAATCTTTATGCTTTGTCACCAGATCGGCACTGGGCTCCAATATGTATACGTACCTGAAGTTCGGGCTTCCTCGTGTATTTCCACCGAACCACAACGGGTCTCAGCGCTCAGGGACTCCTAAACCCAAGACTTCCATCGGGAGTGGCATGAAACCTGTGCCAAGGTAAATAATAAAAGATTTGGTAGATTTTTAATCTTTTTGTTCATCCTCATGCCGTTGAAACGGCATTATTTCTCAAATTACAACGCAGTTCTATATTGGAACTTATGAACCCCACGTAATATGTAGAGACAGGAGTCTAAACTCATTTACCACCTATAATAAACTCAGAAATTTTTTACATATTTTTTCCTATGATCTCCTGTGTAAAGAAAGTCCATTTTAACACTTGTTCAACAGGATCCAAAGACAAAGTCGAGGTATGCGCGAGACATCATCAGGTTACGACAGTTCAGACAACGAGACCACCACCAACTACAAATACAGTCGCAAGTACCGGTCGGACCCCGACTTTAGGATGCAAAACGTACATCCATCTTTACAGGTTTGCACTTTCTCTTTTTAATACAACAAGTTGATGATTCAACCATTTTCGTTAAACCCACAGCATGGGTGATAAGGTCGTTACCCTGCATTTATTTATTGATGATTCATATGACGATTTAATGGTCGCTTCTGATCAAACACATTGATACTTTCACATATGTAAAGCAATCAAAATAGCTGTAAATGGGTTAGAAATAATCCAGACCATACGCTACCAGTATATGAAAACCTGATACCGATTGATTCTCTCAGCATAAGCACAGGATGTGATGTACTTATATGACATAATATTAAGTTCCGTGGACATTGTGGACACGAATTACTCGCTACTTTTACACATGGGGTTCTATAACGAGTTCATTTTTGCTTTTTTGCTTTCCAGCCGAACACAGGTGTACCAGTAGTAGCAATGCAGCAGGCTGGCATCCGAGGGGACGGTCAATGGACGAACTCCAGACACAAGTCAGTCAGTGAAGCCAATCTTCTAGGCATTGATGCACGACCTCACCATCGATCCCACTACAGTAATAGGAGAAACAGTGTAGCCGACTACGTCCCTGATGGAGACCATCAAAGGTAAAGAAAAAACAATAATATGTTCACTCTGATAAGACATATTTTCAAGTGACGCCCTAAGATGTAGGTTGAACGTCCTCGTGGAAATGTTATTTTCATGACCCGCATAAATGTCCTGATGTTACTTATACAAGACAAACTTATTGTGAAACGTGGCCTCCTCGTTGTTTGGATTTCCATTTTCTTTCTTTGGCAATAGTACTTCAATTTTTACGTACAATAGTCCAACTAATGCTATCAATGACTCTTCCTCATTCCAGTTATCTGATGTCACCTTCTCACCTGGGCGGTCGGATGTCGAAGGCAGGCAGTCACATGTCTATAGCTCAGTCCAGAAAACACTCCACTCTGAGACCAGGAGACCATCTGGACGGATATACGCACTCAGCGTACATTTACCCTAATTATTACGTGAGTATTGGATCCTGTAACTAAGTTTAGTACTGAATCCGAAGTACATGATTCGATGAGAAGTTTATCGCTTTCAATAGTGTATGGATAGTATTACAATCTTGTAAAAAGTTAATTAGTCTCCAGTAACAGAAATTGTGTCTCGTCATATACCTAAAGCAGAATGAAATTCTGGTTTGCAGGTTAACAGTTTAGAAATAACGGCGCCGGAGAATAAGTCAACCTTACTGGTATCTGGTCTAAGTTTCGAAGTGAAGTCTGGAGAAATATTAGCAGTTTTAGCAACATCTCATCACGAGGCCACTGGACTGCTTGATGTTTTAGCTGGAGTGCGAAAGGTATGAGACATTTTTATTATGGTGTTTACGATTATGAATAAAACTGCATATTAGGTATTTATGTTTTTTGCTAAATTTTCTTACCTCTTCTTTTCGGAGGTCATGACGATGAATGATATGTGAATGCGTAGGTAATAGTATATTTCTTTTACGAGTTGTGTTTTGTTTCCAGAAACTAACAGGCGACATTGTTCTCAATGGCCAACCAGTTGCCTCATCAACTCTTCGAAAAGTCGCAGCATACGTTCGCAAAGACACGTCTCTTTGTGCCTCCATGACGGTGGAACATACTTTGAAGTTCCATGCCGCTTTGAGAAGACCTAGGAATAATGGGCAGGTTAAAATGGACGATAGAGATCGGGTATGTATCTAATGAACAAAGTTGTCACTAAGCTTTTACTAAACCTTTGTAGTTGGCAGAAACTCAATGGGCAAAATGTCATCGACTTTCCTTAAAAGTGTATGGCTTAGAAAAAATATCCAAATGGTTTGGTAATCTTTAAAATATCTTCCAGATTTTATCATCTCTTGCAAATGGTTTCAGATAAATCTTCTGATTGAAGAACTTGGACTAGAACAAGTCCGAGACACGAACGTAGGTCGCCTTACTAGATCAGAAATTCGTCGCCTCAATGTCGCGTGCCAGCTACTCTTAGACATGGCCATATTAATCTTAGACCAACCAACTAAGGAGATGGACATCTTCGACACTTTCTTCCTGGTGGAATATTTGAGAAACTGGGCCAGTACTGGTAGAGTTGTGATCATGTCACTGCATCCACCGACTTATGAGATTTTTGCTATGCTTACTAAAGTAAGTACCTTTCTTTCTCGTTTTTATTCTTAAAGGTTCTAAGCCGGTATTTTATTTGGTATTTCGTTTATAGGTGGTGTTAATATCAGCTGGTAGAACGATGTTTAGCGGGTACAGAAGGGATATGTTGCCATATTTTGCTTCCATCGATTATCCCTGCCCAGCTTTCAAGAACCCTTCAGATTATTACTGTAAGTCATCTTCAATTTTACAAATCTTGCTTAGTTTGCTTTATTGTCTAGACTTGCTTCACGTAACTAAAAATTGGAACCAAAACCACTCAAACTGCATAGGGGTCATGGGTTTCACAGATTTTAAAACTTTGTATCCTTTTTAGTGGATCTGGTTACGCTGGACGACTTGTCAGCCGCAGCCATGTTGGAATCATCGGGTCGTATCTCTGCGCTGGCCAATGTTTTCGCTGGTGCACAAGCACCTCCAGACCCACCTCCACCTGTGCCACTACCTGCCCCGCTCACCCGTCCTAATGTGCTCGTACAGGCTGGAGCACTTATAGAGTAAGTTCATAGATTTCAAATATCATTAGTCGAATAGAATAAATATAAATACGCAATTGTAATTAATTGTTTTATTGTTTCAGGAAAAGTTTACTGTTCACACAATCAACTACATTATCAAACGTCATAACTCGAATACTCTTGGCGGCCGTTATGTCTTTGATCACCGGCGCCGTGTTCTGGGATCTCCCTGCTACAGATCCAAAGGTACATTATAGATATTCCGATATTCTACCTACGTTTTTTGAGAGGTATAAAGTTCTGGAACGATTCACACTGCTAACTAATCAAAGCTAAATCTTCTTTAATACTTTTTTCGCAGCTTACACAGAACGACCGGGTAGGTTTTCATTATACAGTAATGTGCCTCACTGTTTGGCCGATCCTGCTGTGGCTGAGTGCGAGAGAAGCAAGCTCCATGCGCCATCATGTGGAGAGAGACATCGCCGTGGGACTGTACTCTAGAACTGTGTTCATACTTTTTGATGTAAGTTCTTCTTAATCAGTTAGGAATGAAGGAAAGTAATAGGAAGCTTATCTAGCGATTCAGAAGTAGAGGATGAGAATTCTCTTTCAAATTATCTTATTAATCTTTGAATATGAAAATCAACTCGAGAATGTTAACCCTTTAAGTAGAGAAAATCACAAAGGCCACGGGAGAAAATCCTATTGTGGAGTAACATTTTATAAAAAAAAAAGTGGTTAACGTGGTGGTCCGGAGGTTAAATTGCTTGCTTCTCATGCATGCATGAGGGTTTGAAACCTGGCAAGTACCAATGTGACCTGTTCCGAGTAACATACATTATCTTAGAGTAGGGGCCTACTCTAAGATAATTAGACATCACCGACATTAGGTGAAGGAAAACGTCGGGAGGAAACCTGAACCTATAATTTCTACAAGTTTGAAATCGCCAATCAGCCTTGAGTAAGAGCAATGATTAATGCTATGCTGCTGTAGAAGACGCCTTTGCTCTGCACTGGCCAAGAGAAATCAATCAGAGTAAAAGAAATCTTTTAATATGTTTATTTTTTCAGCAATTCCTGGAACTGTGGTCAGCAGGTGTGACGTGGTTAGCGTATTTAGTGCCGAGCTACGCCATGAGTGGGCTGTACGCGCAATCTCCCGCCTCTTTCGACGGATTTTATTTATACTTAGGCAAGTTTTATTACTCTTATTATTACAAGGTTATTATGAATATTTTATCCGGATACTGGATTTTATTTGGTCAGATTTGTGTACCAATTACAGAATATAGAAAAAAAGTGTTTATGTCTTTCTAGTAGACCATAATTTACTCCTTATTAGGCATGGATGTAAACTGATACCTATTTCCCGATCTAGAAGAAATACTAAGTAATCTAATTCATCAAATTCCAGGTTACATGCTGCTTTATCTGATAAGTATACAAATGTTGTGTCGAGCGACAATATTCCTTGTGCCAATGGAGAAGACTGCTGCAGTCATATCAGGATTCTGCCTATTGCTTAGCACCCTAGTCAATGGGGTGATGCTACATAGTCGAGACTTACCCGATTACGTCACGTGGCTGCAGATCGTGTCGCCCTCTAGGTGGACTCTACCGGAACTATTGGGAAGGGAACTCAGTGAGGTGGCGCTGAGGAGCAGTATTAGCCATAGGTGTAATAATAAACAGGTGAGAATTGTTTGCTTTTTTATGTTTTTGTTACGATTTGTTCTCAGGACCTAATAGCCAACTGGTGGAACTTGACAAGTTCCCAGAAATTTATTCAAAGGTGAAAATCGCATCTTTTTTATGATCGTGATTGGAGGGTAAACGAACAGATGAATTACCTGATGGTAAGCAATCAGCGCCGCCCATGGACATCTGCAACAACAGAGGAGCTACGAGTGCGTTGCCGACCTTTTGGGAGTTAGGGATTGGGAAGAGATAGGGGAGGGGAAGGATTAGGCCTCGCTAACCTCACTGACGAGGCGAAACACAACGCTGTAGTTGTTTCACATCGGTTTTCTGTGAGGCCGTGGTATCACTCCGGTCGAGCCGACCCATTCGTGCCAAAGCTTAGCTCTCCCACAATACTTAGCCACCTTGGTCGGTTGAAACTTCAAAAAAAATTATCGTTGAACTCCTGAAGGTCCTATAGATGTCTTTGTTCAGCAGGTCTATTTCAAATTCCAACTGATGATTGATAAATGCGCTTAAATAAAAATTTCTTTTTTATTTCCAGGGACCGTACAAGGACATCATAGTACAATCACCGTGCCCTCCTCCGAATGGTACTCAAGTGCTCTCCAACTACGAGTATCTCCGTTCCAACCACCTCTGGGAATGGACTGACGATACTTTCCTCATATCCTTAGCTATATTTTATGGAGTATTTGCTTTTGTAGCTCTAATAGCTTTTGTAGCTGACTGTACTAAATACACTAAGAGAAAAGACCGAGTTTCCAGAAAAGGGCACAAGGTCAGTGTAAATACTCCTTGAAACACACCTAAATACTTACGAGACTTGACTGGTATTGAAAAAGAAATTTGGAGTAGTAGTTGTTGGGATGCGAAAAGAGATGGCGCTGTTCAACTAATGAGCCATATTTTTATTGCATTGCAACACTGGACGTATATTCTACATTCTTTAGCTAAGGAAATGTTAGTATAATCGGGTTTTATCGTTGCATGGGAGGACGAGACAAATAATTAAGACTATAAAAGTTTAAAAATGGGATCATAGAAAAATAATAATTGTAAAAAACTAGTAAAATCTTTGGTGAATCTAAAAAAATTATAATCAATTATTAAATATATTTTTTAAGTTTCGGGGTTTTAGCTCAATCTGAGGGCTTATTATTTGAATGGTTTGTATTAAGGAATATAAAAGTCGAACAATGTACAAAAGTATGAATTGTCATAATAAAATTATGTAATTAGGTAAATTCAACTTTAAGAGTTGAAACAAAAGGCTGACTATATGTCTTCCGTCCATATAGATATGTATTATTAAATTTTAAGACAATTTTTTTCTTATACATTTGAATCTCTAGTACTATTTTTCTAATGGGATGATGAGGACATAAAATAATTTATTTTGGATTGCTTAGACCGGAATAAATTGAAAACAAAGTTTACATTAAATCCAACAAAAATACTTACCTAACAATCTCAGTATCCTGAATAACTAACATTTCTATTCACCCCATTATCTTTGTACTTATATTTTATTACAGAAATGAGTTTATATAAAAACTGATCTATTTCTGCAAAGCTTTCTCTTCTCTACCTCTTATTAGTAGAAAAGTATAATAAGCAAAAACTGGCAACACCCATTTAACTACTAATTTTTCTAATATGGCAATGTTGCTATATGTTTGGAAGTTAATTGCGTGCCTTGTACATATTTATGGTAGATTAACAAATGCATAATAAATAAATAATTCAATTCATATTCGCATAATATTGTTTAGTTAATATTTAAAAATTGGTGCAGTTTAGTATCGTAATAAGTCTAATGCGGTGAGCGGTAATGCCACCCAAGATTTCTACAGTAAGGTTCAATTTTCCGTGCACAAATCATGAAAAATGATTCATTAAATAAAGTCAAACCCACTGATACATGTTACCCCGGCTCATTAAAAAAGAAAACGATTTTGTGTTCATAAAGAAATTGTTCAAGGAAATGTAGATAATATTGTATTTGATTTCTGTTATTATGTATAAGGGATTATAAATATTTTGTTCATTAAGGTCTTTCTTAAGTCCTTTCTGTCAAATTAGTTTTAGAGTGAAGCCATATCACTTAATTTTAAATATTATTCTTAAGTTACCCTAGCGTCAAACTATACATACTACATATAATACTAAATAATAATAAAAGAATAGTAACTTAATGATTTCATTCGTTTTATTTCATGATCCTTTATTTCGTCAACTTGTATAAAAAAATATTAACAAATGATTTATAGAATAATAATTTTTAATTATAAGTAATATTAAATTATTTGAAATAAATAAGATAAATTATTTGAACACAATATTTTTAACAATCCTTACCCTATTCTTGGACAAAATCTACTATTTTGTCCAAAAATAAGTTAAAGTAACGAATTAAAAAAAGATATGAATACATGATTTAGTATAACAATTGATTTCTGATAACTCATGAAAAATATAACAATGTAAACATTTGATGACAACAATAAAGTACAATTTTCTTTGTCAATTGGGGATGGTAATTACAAACTGTATTACTTACCTACATCCACTCACTCCATTTCATTTACAATGAGGTAGTTATTGCAAATTGGTCCTTATGGCCTTGTTCAACGTGTTATCCTTTATTCACATGAAAGAGTTCGTGATATCGTTTACAGATTTCACACACACATGGGGTTATTTTAGTTTTGAATTTAGTTTTTCCATTGTCTTGTGTACTGGCATTTGTGTACCTATCATGGTCGATGTATCTACTTTCTAGAGTAGTCTTCGTATGTTTTTCCTCATCGTGGCGGTTGGAGTAGGGTTTCTCCGTACTGCCCATTGATCTACCGAAATAAACACATATTGGATGTATGAAAATCACAAGTTATAACCATTTTAATACTGTTATATTATTATTATACTAATAACTAGTAGCTCTGCATCATATGTGGGAACAAATTAAACTAAGTATTACTTCTAATGTGATTTTTTTATTTTTTTATAAGCAATTTTTGGAGGTGTATATTTACTTGTACCTAACTGTTTTACTTTTTTCTAAATACCAAAAAACTATACCAACTAAATACCAGAGCTATAACTTAACACTAAATGACATTATATTACACATTAAACATTAAAAGATAATTAACTAATAAGCAAAATTAAATGACTTTTCTTCTGTCTGTCTGATCTTTTATCTTTTATCTTTTATCTTTTATCTTTTATCTTTTATCTTTTATCTTTTATCTTTTATCTTTTATCTTTTATCTTTTATCTTTTATCTTTTATCTTTTATCTTTTATATTTTATCTTTTATCTTTTATCTTTTATCTTTTATCTTTTATCTTTTATCTTTTATCTTTTATCTTTTATCTTTTATCTTTTATCTTTTATCTTTTATCTTTTATCTTTTATCTTTTATCTTTTATCTTTTATCTTTTATCTTTTATCTTTTATCTTTTATCTTTTATCTTTTATCTTTTATCTTTTATCTTTTATCTTTTATCTTTTATCTTTTATCTTTTATCTTTTATCTTTTATCTTTTATCTTTTATCTTTTATCTTTTATCTTTTATCTTTTATCTTTTATCTTTTATCTTTTATCTTTTATCTTTTATCTTTTATCTTTTATCTTTTATCTTGGCGAACTCTGTACCGCCTCAGAAAGTTTGATAATGTTCCTGGTATATCTAATGTAACTTACAGAACAGGAGTCGCTGATGTGGGCCGTAAGGCGGCAAAATTAAAATGGGACTGGGTCGGACAAGTCAGCCGAATGCATCCGGAGAGATGGGCCACTATTATCACCATAGGGACACCTCAGAATGGAGGCCGCAGGCGGGGTAGGCCCCGGAAAAAATGGCGTGACGATCTAGACGCCTATCGTGGAGACTGGTGGACACGGTCGAAGGATCGGGAGGTGTGGAAGCGAGATGGGGAGGCCTTTGCCCAGCAGTGGGACATTAGGCTATTAAAAAAAAACTTACAGAGCAGTTTGTTTGGAAACGATAATTCTCCTTGTTGGTGCTTACTAAGACAGGCATTTCTTCCCTATATTCTAGGCGTAAAAGTCCAAAGGAGGTTTACCATCCTGTGGACTTTTTGAATAACAAACAAGAATATCTGAAGCCTTTAATTAGGTTCAACTTTTTAGGATCTACATTTACTTGTGAATTTACTAATGATTAGCAACTATCTAACTTCTCACTACTTAATTTGCTACAGGCCAATATTACTAGGTATCTACAGCTAACATATTAATCCTTCACCTTAGTGTATGATCTTCGTATGATTCAGTATCATTACTACCAGTATAAGGGTGGTTTATCCACGCGTCTGTATCAGTGCGTACATTGTACACGCAATATTCTCGACGAGGCCGGCTGCGACGTTGCGAGGTTTGACAACGGCAGTTCATACCGGTTTTCGGTATTGGACTATAAAGTACAAAGGGTTTGTAAAGTATCTAAGTCTGTCCTAGATTTTTTATGGAATAGGCCTATGGACACCCGCCATGCTAAAGTAGTTAGTAGTGCGTTGCCGGCCTTATATGGATTAGGGTTTTGGATATTTAAGGATTGGAAAGGATAAGAATTAGGCCTCCGGCAACCGCACTCACACAACGAAACACAACGCTGTTCCGCGCTGATTTTCTGTGAGGCTGTGGTCACACTCCAGTCGTCAATTGATATTTTCCTTAAATTATTGATGGCCCTAACTTTGTCACATTACGTATGTTCCCACTTGATATGTTTTTTAATTTCATGCTATAAATTTAATTTTTCTAATCTATTCTCTATTACTTTAAAAAGTATCAATAAACCAATTCTAGTTATTTGTAAGTATATAGTTTAAAAAGTTTCTACAAAAAAAGTAGGTAGTTACCTACCTACTTTTTAATAGTAAAAATCTCTTAGGTACGTACTTGGGGCAGTCACACGTTATACAGTCTCCATCCTTCTGCGTCAAGCTGCAACATGACTTGGATCCTGTGGACCCAGACCGTGACCTTGACCTCGGTACTGATGGCGCCCTTGGATATTTTATACATTTGTTTCTGTAAAGAATTTAAAGCAATCATAGAAAATCCCATAAATACCTACCCAATTTTTAAGTAAGTAGTATATACTACATGAAAAAAGGCATTTGAATACATATTTTAATTTTATTTAGTGTTGCCCACTACCTACTTGTGTTTTTACTCTAGAGTTTATTTTAAAGATCAATTTATTTTTAACGACTTGATAATTTTTAACAAGACGACTAATGACGAGGTTACGGGAAATACAGTGAACGGCTAATCTGGTAAACAAAATTTTGCCGAGACACTAGAAAAAATAAGGCTCATATTTAGGCAACTAAAAGTTCCCAATGACTTGGTAAAAAAAAGTACCGAATGACTGACGACAAAAATAAATAATTTTGACTTTTCAATGCAATAAAGACAATGGCGAACAAATGGATGAACGCAATACATATAATATAAAAACCATAAGAATCACAGTTTAATTCATAGATTTATCGATACATTACAATCGCATTTCTTAGGAATCCCGTAAATTAATCGCGTACAAAACTGTCGAATTTTGACAATAAGAGAAAAGGATTGAATTTGACTGTAGGTAACCAATTCAGTACAAGGTCATACCATCGAGTTAGCTTACCTATGGTACCGGGCCGAATGACAAACCTGCCTCTGTCGCAAAGTTTCGTCACGATGAGGTGAACAATGACAAGCAACTTTCAGCATCGAAGGCATGTTATGAGACTGATTCCAAACCTCATCTATACGCACTTTTGTTGCTATCTCGATTTTAGGAGATAGTATACCCTGAAAAATAGGACAACGATTATTAGATTAGTAAGTATGTAGGTATTTTATTGGGAATGGCACGCTAGCCACGCGAGGTACCTATGCTCAAAAGTCAGTCGGGTCGGAACGGGCTAGCTGACACACCAGGCTGGCCCACTGGACACCCTGAGCAGGGATTTCCGCCCCCCTCCCCCCCTTTCCTCAAAAAAAGCTATGGCAACAGTAAGATTGAGTTTTTGAATAGTAACTTTCGTGAGACATACCTACTTCATTTATTAAAAATAACGAGTGAAGGAAGTCCTGTTGTGACTTGAAACTAGTAGAGCTATTTTCTCAGTAAATTCACGTGAGTAAGTCGTTATATTCAATAGATTTAGTTTTATCACTTCCCTTATAAAAAAATCAACCATTTTAGTCAAATAGTTAAAAGAAGAAGAACCAAATAATAAGGAAACAAATATTACAGGGAAGTCCTTAGCTCTCCTCATGAGCAGGTCAACTCCATCATTGGAGCACATGTTAGGTGGGAAGAGTACATCATTCAAAGCACCCAGGTACTGAGCCAGGATCACACATTCACTGGTGGTACAGTCATCACACCATTGCACCAGCTCACAGTATATAGTTTCTTCTTCTGAAAATTCATAAAAATATTATAAGCATGTTTCTGCTGCTTTTCTCCTATCTTATCATCTTATCTAGAATATTTTCGAGGCTGATCTTTAGCCGGGGTTGCGGGGTATGCTTAATAAAGCACCACAGTCTCGGCCTAGAGCAGGAGAAGGAACGAGAGGGTTTTTAGTTAGAGTTTGACACTCCCTCTCGCCACACTCTGGGTGAGACAAGGTCATTTGATGATTTTCCCCTCACAAAAACCGCTCCACAAGTGTGGGAGAGCCATGCTTCGGCACGAATGGGTCGGCTCAACCGGAGTGATACCACGGCCTCACAGAAAACCGGCGTGAAATAACCACAGCATTGTGTTTCGCTGTGTGAGTCAGGTTACCGGAGGCCCTATACTCCCCTTCCCCCCCATCCCTTCCCAATCCTTAAATATCCGAAACCTTTATTCCTAAAAGGCCGACAACGCACTCGTAACTCCTCCGTTGCAGGTGTCCATGGGTGGCGCTGATTGCTTACCATCAGGTAAGGTAAAAAAACAAAAGAAGTGATGTCATGGCTAACACTTACCAGAAACAGTAACCATACAATGGTATAACACAATAATATTTATGGAATTAGTAATATTCTTAGAATAATTTTACTAGACAATATTTTGCTTCCATAATGATTAGGTATTATTTTTGTAAGAAAAACACAAATAAAACCATAGCAAATGTTGCTTTAGTAATATATGTAGGTACAACTTACTTAACAAACAGCAAATGTTATTCAAGGCACAAGTTTCTTGGAATCTTTTGCGGAAGTAGAAGATGTCTTTGAACAAGAGTGGGAAGATGGGAGGCAGTAGACAGGTCTGGTAGCTGGTACCCAGTGCAAACACTGTAAGGGAGACTCTGCCATCTTGACATAGCCACACTCCCGGACATGATACCTAGTGAAAAATAAAAAAATATGAAAATAAAATAGATACCCCCCTTTGTTCTATTTCCTTTGTACTCTTGCAGAATGATATCTTCTGCACTAAAATTAAGAGAACACTGGGGCTAAATTCAACATAAACTAGCCATGATAAAACCATATGTTTGGAAAAAGATTAAACTAACTATAGCATTAAGCTTTGCTATATAATCATGAAATGAAACTCACAAAACAAACTTTAAGAGGTCAAGGTCATGAAGTAGACTTATGTTGATTGGATAAAACTTATAAATAACATTAATAAAATATTAGCTACATTTTTGAATGAAAAAGATATCGGATAAAGGCATATTAAATATAAAGTTTTAAAAGCATTAATCAGCAGAAATTACCTTTTGTACATCTATTTCCACTGTTAACTCAATAATTTTTGGCATGTTGCAGAATCACATTGCCGATAGCCTAGCTTTACACATTCATGATAAAACATCTAATTTTAGTCCAAATACTATCATAATTCACGAATTTCTCATCGGGAACTAATATTGAAAGTAAATCTAATGTTTACATTTATGTAGATAAACAGGACGAAATAAGGACAATTAATTTGACAGTAATGACTGCTGATTGGACTACTGCTTCGTAAATATATTTTTTAGCCAATGACGCCAAACATAGTCGAAAATGTTGAATCAAAAACACCAATCCCGTTACGTTTATTCAGTTTCCATGACAACAGTTTCAAATCTTTGTACCTGTCATCGCAATCTGCAGTCCATCGTTCAGAAATACAAATTTACCATAAATATAATTATGGTGCATAAATTGTGATTAAATCCGACACGTAAATTAAATTAATTAATTTAATTTTTTAATTTGCTCTAATCTGTATCCCGTTCGCCAAAGGGTTTTTTATAGCATAAAAATCAAATAAAACCGAATGTAAAAATGAAAATATTAAAAAAACCTTGCGGTTATTTTATAATTATGTTTGACACTGTCATTTAATTTCTATTCAACTGCGTTTAAGTTTTAGGCGCATTTTTTTATCAAGTAATCAAAAAGTTTATCTAAAATGACTAAAGTACCTTCTGTTATTCATTGGTTTAGATTAGATTTACGAATTCATGATAACCTTGCTCTACGTAATGCAATAAATGAAGTAAGTTAATCACTCACTCAAGATTAGCTTTTGCGGTTTCGTTGGTTGGACCACATATTTTGCATTGCTGTTTTTTTTTTAACTATTGTTCCTCGTTTTATCATTTGTTCTGCATACTTTTTAACTTCAAGATCAAACATCCTTCTCCTAATGTAGGTAGGTTTAGTAATGTGATATTTTTTATGTCAAAAATTTTTTTTAGGCTGAAAACCGTAAACACCATTTAAGACCAGTTTACTTCTTGGACCCTGAAATAAAAAGTAAAATAGGAATCAACAGGTTAAGATTTTTAGTTCAGAGCCTTCAAGATCTTGACACAAACTTAAGGAAATTGAATTCTCGCCTATATGTTGTCAGGGGAAATGCTGTAGAAGAGTTACTTAAGTTATTCAAGAAATGGCAAGTTAAATACTTGACTTGCCAGGTTGATATTGATCCCATCTATGTAAAACAAGATGAAGAAGTTGATAAGATTGCTGAAAAAAATGATATATTTGTGGTCCGTCGAGTCCAGCACACTGTCTATGATGTCCACAGTGTATTGAAAAAGAACAATGGAAATGTCCCTATGACATATCAAAAATTCCTCTCATTAGTACAGGATATGCAAGTGAAGGATTGCATTGAAATAACTAAATCAATATCTGATCACTGTAACCCAAAAGATGTTGATTCCAAAAAATATGATGTTCCAAGTTTTGATGAACTTAGTATCGATGAATCAGCTTTAGAACCCTTAAAATATCCGGGGGGTGAAACAGAAGGCTTAAAAAGATTGAATATGTATATGGCTAGAAAGCAATGGGTGTGCAAGTTTGAAAAACCAAATTCATCTCCAAACAGCTTAGAACCAAGTACTACAGTTTTAAGTCCTTACATCAGTCATGGATGTTTGTCATCAAAGCTATTTTACCACAAACTAAAGGAAGCATTGAGTGGTATGCGTCACACAGAGCCACCTGTATCTTTATTAGGACAATTAATGTGGAGAGAATTCTACTACACTGCAGGAGCAGGCACTGAAAATTTTGATAAGATGGTTGGAAATTCAGTGTGCACCCAAATTCCTTGGGGCACAAATGACGAGCATTTGAAAGCATGGGCAGAAGGAAGGACAGGATACCCATTTGTTGATGCAATAATGCGTCAACTTAAACAAGAAGGATGGATACATCATTTGGCAAGGCACATGGTTGCTTGCTTCCTTACAAGGGGAGATCTATGGATTTCTTGGGAAGAAGGAGCCAAAGTATTTGAAGACTATTTATTGGACTACGATTGGTCATTAAATGCTGGTAATTGGATGTGGCTATCAGCTTCTGCCTTCTTTTATAAATTCTTTAGGGTATATAGCCCTGTTGCATTTGGTAAGAAAACAGACAAAGAAGGTCTGTACATAAAGAAGTATGTCCCTGAATTAAAAAAATATCCCACTGCTTTTATATATGAGCCTTGGAAAGCACCTAAAAGTGTTCAAATGGCAGCTGGATGCATTATTGGGCAGGATTACCCCAAGAGAATAGTTGATCATGATAAAGTACATAAGGAAAACTGCCAAAAGATGTCTGCTGCTTATAAATTAAATAAAGAGAGGAAAGCTTTAAAAAGACCCTTGACATAGTCTCAGTTTTAATTTTAGTTGAAGTTACCTCATTTCTTAGTCTCAGTACATAGATATAAGTTACACTTTTTTAATGTTTATGATTAACTGTTTGATACATGTGTTGCCTTAATTTAACTACCTCGAATATTTTATCTAATTGTGATTTTTATAGTTATATTTGATGTTGATAATAATGTATTTGTTTGTATTAAAAAGGATTACTTAATTATAGTGATTAATAATTTTGTTTAACAAGCAAAACCCCTTAAAATGTGTACATTTTCACATTCGGAACGTAGCTAAAATCTGATGAGAGAGAACTACATTTAAAACCGTTGAAGTCAAATAATGGGACCTTTGTGGAATATTTTATCCAATTAATTAATTAATTAAGAGACCATGATTGACCATGCATTTTGGGCTACGTGTAAAACAGACTACAGCTTCAATGGCTTTAAAAATATGACAACAGCCAAACTAGCGCAAAACTGCTGTTACTGGAAGATGAGAAGGTGCAAATGTTGCTTCCCATCCACACCGTTTTAACAACTTCCAAGGCTTAGACATGGACAAGCCATCCGGCCTTATTTATCTATCTATTCTGGTTCGCTCGATAGAGAATTCTATAGCATCGTGCTATTTGGCCAGCGTTTTTGCAGCACGTTTGGTTGGTCGATTTTCTCTTCACATTGATCTAGTGTCGATTTTCTCTTCACATTGATCTAACTATGGAACAAGACAAGCCTTACCTTCTGACCTAACACACAAACAGTATTTCGCCTAAACTATGTTTATAGAATCTATAGCAGTATCGAAACGTGATGTCATAAATATTGTCATTATCATGTTCTTGCAAATCTTGCAATTGTCAACGTCAACAATGTCAATTTCTTTAAAGTTGAATTCTCAATTTGTTTTTTCTAATATTTTCTTTGATAATTAATGAAATTTTCATGAGAAACTATAGAGACATGAGAACTGCGAATAGGGGCAATGCCCTGAAAATAATGTTTGCTGGACTGGGAACGTAATTCTTCGGTAAGTTAGTTTTTTGGTCAGTATTTACATTAAGTAAGTAGCTATTGTTTTTTATTTTGTTTATAGAAAAAATATGATAGGTACTTAGTAACGTTTTCTTATTAATATATTCACAATAATTTTACATGATTCAAAAATTCATCCTAAAGTACATACAGAGCAGACACCTTTGATACGCCCACATTCGCACATTTAAAGACTCGTAGATAAAGTCGATAATACCCATCAATTGGTTCATCTACATACTTAAAAACTTAAATTTTAACCACTAACAAACTACAAAGATTTTTGTTTGTTTGACTTCAGAATAAAATATTGTAAATGACAATATTAAAATTTTAAACTATAAACCTAAAACAAAAATTATGTACATTGTTTTCCTGTGAGTTAAAACAATGACAGAGTTGAAGTTTTTCTTATCTGGTACCAAAAAGGTATGTTTATTTTTATAGTATGTTTCAAACCAATGTTTTAATTTTTATAAGTATATTTAAGACTTACAATATTGTCATACACAGTGCACCCTTTGCTTTATTGTTTTATTATTAATTAATCAAACCCTAAGTTATCACCGGTGTTCACATGTATGTGATAGTAGGTATACAATACAAAGACAATAGGTATACCTATTGTCTTTGCATCTTGAATAAGTAAGTACCATATGACTGAAAGGTTAAAAAAATTGTGGATTATTACAGACTTAATATTTATTTATATATAAAAGTATAAACACATTCCTGTTGAAAACATTGACACCACATCTTAAGTGTTATGTCTCAAAAATAACTCAATAATAACTAGATTAGCATTTATTTGTTAAAAATATTATTGTTGGTGTCATTTTATCTTTCAAGAAAATGTTTTGCTACCTCTTTTTTTAATATTTGATGACCTATTGGAGAAATGACCAATGTCGTCCTAAAGATATCAAATGTCTTTGGCCTATCGCAGACATTATATTGTTTTGTCAGGAAAGTGGAACTATACCTATCTTTAAAAGACTATATTTTTTGTTATTTTCATTTAGAGGTGTGGACAATCTCCAACATATAGCTAGGTATGTACGGGACAGATAACATATCATTTACTCTAAGAAGGTATGTGTTTTTAATTAATTTTTTAATATTATTTCCCTAGGTCAGAAAACAGATTATTAATTAAGGTTCAAAGCTAGGTTTGCCCACACACATTCAACAACTGTATAAAGTCTCACACTAATCAAAAAACCTTTAGGATCTCTATCCATTTTTGGACACAAGCTATATTTTCTTAATTATTACTTTTAACAAAAGTAAGTCTTGATTGTCTGTAAGGCTAAAACCGGCTTACTTAGCTTTTTAAAACTGTTTTTTGTTTACATGCATAAAAAATAAAAACGATAAAAAAAAACACTAAAATAGCCTGGTGAAATTATTGTGTAAAATTAAAATTAATTTGTTAAACTTGTAAAGTCATTGTATGGTTAAGGGCATGATAAGAGTTTAGAGGTTATTATTAGAATTACGGCCTCACGTCAAGAACGATTGAATCATTCATGTTTATTCTATAATGAGGTCTATGGAATTTGAGGTTTAATGCTGGTTGATGACCCCACAGAATATTGTGTAATAGACTTTTTGCATTAGGATTTACTGATGTTAATTTTTGCTGTAGGCGTTAAGGGGCGAAGCCCTTCATTGGGCACGAATGAGCCGGCTCGACCGGTGTAGGTAATACCACGTCGGCCTCGCGGAATATCGATGTGTTTTGTCGTGTGAGGTTACCAGAAAGTATTTTCTCTACCCCCTATCCCAAACTCTTATTCCCCGATCCACACTTACACCATTATTAATCCTTATTTGCATGAAACAACGTGAATCAACATTTTATACAATTCAATAGCAAACCTGCCGGTTTTTTGGGTTAAAAGATTTCCCTTTGGCTTTCCAGTAATTTTCCATGGTTGCAAATTTTCCACTTAGTTCTGAATATCTTTTGGACGAAAATAAACTTGT